TTTTTTTTTCTTTTTTCTTTTTTCTTTAAATGGTGTGAGGTGGAAGGCCAACCACAACCACTTTCTTTTACATGCAGCTACCCAGCACTGTTCGCTGAAAACACTATTCTTCCCACCCCGGATCGTCGCAGCACACTTACGGAAAATCCACTGACTGTAAATGTAACGGTTTATTCTCAATTCTAGTCCACCGATCTATATGTCTACCCTTATGCCTGTACTGGTTACTGTAACTTTGTACTAATTGAATACATTTTAAACAATGCATATCAAGGGCTGGCTAGGTGGGGGAGAGGCGCACGCGGAGGTGGTGGGCGCCGTCTGACCTGCCCCCAGGGTTGAGGGGTCCACGCTCTTGTCTGCTCCGCACAGCTGCCTTCCTGGGCTCCCCTGGATGTGGCCCTCAAAGCTCTAGGTTTTTACTGGAATGACTCCTGGGCAGCTAAAGCCCCCAAAGAAAGGATCCTGCGCCCTGGCCTCCCACCCCGCTGCCGCTGGGAGGTGGAGTCTCTTATCACACGCTTTCTCTCTTCCACTCTTGGCGCCCCTAGAACCCAGAGCGGGAAAATCGAGAAGCCGCAAAGTGAGAAGGCGGGCTACGCAAATGACATGCTAACGACATGCAAATGAACCCGCCGAGCCGGGTCGGGGCCACTCAGAGGAGGGGGCGAGGTAGACAGAAGCGGCTGCGGGCCCCGGGCACGCCCCCCCGCCTCGCCCGGAGGCCTCCCCGCCCGGCTCCCTGGAGACGCGGAGGTGGTCCCGCCCACCGGAGCCCTGCGGCCCGCCCCTCCGGTCCCCGCCGCCGCCCGGCGTCCTGCCGCCTCCACCGCTAGCGGGCCGGGCCGCAGGAAGCCGCGCTCCGCTGGAGTGGAGCCGCCCCTCCGCCGGGCCCGGGCGAGCCGGTGAGCGGGCTCCCCGCACAGTCCCCAGGGTGCCGGGGTCCCTGTGAGCGCCGTCGCGGGCCTTCCCCGCCGTGGGCCTCCGGGGCCCCTTCCCGCCTGTGGGGGGAGAGGATCCAGAAAAGCCTCTTGTCCGGGTCCTGGGCCGCCCCAGCCTGCGATGGCCTGAGGGGTGAGGGGGCAGGCACCAGCCAAGGCCTGGGCTGAAATCTCCACGGGGACGCCCCCTGGACGTCCCAGAAGGCCCACCCAAAGGAGATCCATCTCGGGGTGTGTGGGAAGCCGAGTGGAAGGAAACTAGATCCCCACAGCAGGGACTGAGCCAGGGTGACAAGAGGTCAGGAAGTTCCTGCTGCCTATCCCATCCCCCTTCCAGGCTGTGGTCAGCCTGCCCCTGCCCAGATGGCGGGGCACCTTTGGAGGCACAGAAGGGAGGAGGGTGGCTGGCGCCAGCCGGCCCCTGCCAGGTGCAGGGATGTGCGGGCTTGTCAACCCCAAGCTCAGGCTGGTTCTTGCTGCTCTCCTGTCCCGCAGGAACCCGCACTGCTGCCTGTCCTGTGTCCTGGGCTTCAGGCCCGGGATCCTGCCTGATGTGGGGCCTGGGGAGAGAGGGGGTCTGCAGGGTCTGGCCATTCTTCTGCTGCTGGTGAAGCTGGTGATTCCTTGTTTTCCTCTCACCAGCTCTCCCACCACAGGAAGGGGGCAGAGGGAGGGGGGGGGTAGCCCCTAACCCCAAAGCCCTGTGTGAGAGCATCCGCTCACCCTTTTGCCCTTACCTGCAAGCTCAGAGGGGCTGGGACTGGATTCTGAGGGCCTATCTAGGCCTCTGTCATCAGATGAGAAGCCCTAAAAATCAGCCCAGGGACTGTGTGTGACGGGAGGACAAGAGGTGTCAGGTGAACTTCTGCCCTGCCCGCAAACCCAGCTTCAGGCCACCTGGGCGTGAAGATGGTCTCACTCAGGGTGGGGGACCCCCGAGGGCTGAGGTCGGCAGCTCCTGCGGAAAGCTGCTCACCTCCAGTCCCAGGAAGGGAGAGTGAAGTGTCTCCAGCTGCGTCTCCCTCCTTTGCCCCAGCCACGCACCAGGCAGTGATTGTGACTCCTGGTTCCCAGTACCAAGGGAAGACCACTTCTCTGCTGGGGCAGAGGTGGGGCCGGAGCCCCCATCTCTGCTCTGCTCCGCTCAGCTCGAGTCTTCTGGAATGGACCTACCTGCTGGGAAACCAGGTCACCCTTGTTCCTGGGCTTGCCTGCCCCCCCGGAGAACACAGGTGGGTCACATTAGTGTTACATTTTGTGCTCAGGTGGAGGCTGGGTGCGGGGCTGTGAACAGGTCCTGTTCGCGGTATGGAATGTGGGGAGGAGGAGGGGGCGACAGTGATAAACAAGGGAAGGACCCACGCCAATGTGGTGTGAGAACTGCTATTACAGAGACAAGTACAGGAAAGGGCCTAGCCTAGCCTGGGGTAAGGGTCAGGGTAGCTTCCTGGAGGTGCTGCTGGAGCTGAATCTTGAAGGACCAACGGGACTTCTCTCTGGCTGAGGATTTTGGAATCTCGGCAGCTGGAGGGGGAGCCAGCTTGCTGGGGGAGGGGCTGGGGGACAGAAAAGCTATGTGTGTGACCCGGGAATTGGGGCTGTATGGGAGGAGATAGCCTCCTTGTGGAAGCCCAAAGTCTTCAAGACAGCTCCCAGAGGGAGGCCAGGGCAGAGAGAACAAAGGTGCTAGGGTTTCCTGGACTCTGATTGTCTGGGGGGCCTGGACGGAGGAGAAACTAGCTCCACTGAAAGGTTCAGAGGGAAGGTAAGTGCAGAGCGAAGGTCAGAGTCCTGGACTAAGGGCACGAAAGAGACCTCTCCATAGAGGGGAGACCTCTCCACAGAGGGGCCGGACAAGGGCGGAAGGAGAGGGGACCAGAGCGGGGAGGGGCTGGGGAGTGCCGGGGTGGGGCGCCATGGGGGGCAGTGGGAGGAAGTGAGGGTGGTGGAGGGAAGGCTGGTGGCCCTTCTGGGAGGAGGGGGAAGGTGGCAGGTCCGGGAGGACTGAGGGGCTGGGATGCGTGGGGAGGGGGGTGAGCAGTAGAGCAGGGTGGGGAGACTTGACATTCACAGAGAGGATCAGGTGGCACCAGTGGCCTTTTCATTTGCCAAGGGAACAGAAATCCTGGAAGGGGCGAGAGCCACTTTGCTGGAGGAGCCTGTGTCTGAGGTTTGCCCCGAGCATGGGGCTGAGCCAGGATAATCGGAGCTGGGGGATCTCTAGGGCTAGTGTCAAGTGCAGGAGCTAGGAGGGCAGGACGTGCTCCCAGCCCACACACAGGACTCGAGGTCCCCCAGACACACACACACACACACACACACACACATACACGACCCACACTCTCCAGGGCTAGGGATGAATGGGCTGCTCCCCTTGGCAGGGCCCCTGGGGGTCCTCTGGGGAGGGAAGAGGCCTTGTGGCTGGAGAAGGGGTTGGAGCCCTTGAAGGAGGCAGTTAGGGTGGGTCCGGCTTAGGTGCTGTGTTAAAGCTCCTGGGCCCTGGGGTGTGGGGGAGGGGTGGGGTGCTGGGCTTGGCAGGAAGGGGGTTTCATATTTCTGGTAGTTTCCTGAGTTTCCATGGATCTTCCGGGGCCTGCGGCTAAAAGGAGGGAGGCTTGGGAACAGGAGCTCCTGGGATCCTTTGGCTCTTTGGAGAGCCAGGATGGAGGGGACTGGAAAAAGGCTCGACATCTGGGGATGGGGCTGGGGCTTTGCGGCCTGGTTAAGGCAGCTTCTGTGATGGGGGGAGTGGCCTGGGTGGTGGCAAGGAACCAAGGTAGGACTGAATGAAAGATGTGAGGGTGTGTGTATCTGTCTGCAGAGCGTGCAACCCTGTGAATTTGTGTGTGTCTTTACGTCTGTGTAGCATGTGTCTGTGTGCATTTGATTGTATGTCTCTAGGCTTGTCTGAGTTTGTCTCTTTAAGTGTGTATCTGCGTAAGTGTATGTCTGTGTGTGTCTCTGTATATGTCTGTGCGCATCTGTATGTGTGACTGTGTGTGTCTGTGTGTCTCTAGACTTTTCTATATGTGTCTATGTAAGTGTGTGTCTGCATATAAATCTGTGTTCCTGGGTGGTTCCATGTGTTTCTCTCTGGCTGTCTGCGTGGTGTGTGTCTGCGTGTGTATCTTTTGTTTTGGCTGCATTGGGTCTTCGTTGCTGCGCATGGACTTTCTCTAATTGTGGCGAGCGGGGGCTACTCTTCATTGCGGTGGCTTCTCTTGTTGCAGAGCACGGGCTCTAGGTGCGTGGACTTCAGTAGTTGCAGCATGCTGGCTCAGTAGTTGTGGCACACGGGCTTAGTTGCTCCGCGGCATGTGGGATCTTCCTGGACCAGGGCTCGAACCCGTGTCCCCTGCATTGGCAGGCGGATTCTTAACCACTGCGCCACCAGGGAAACCCTGTGTGTGTGTATCTACGTAAGCCCTCGTTTAGCTGTTCTGTGTACGCTCCTGGGGGGCCCCAGCCCTGTCTTGTTCACCTCAGCCATCACAGCAGCACTGACAGTGAACCTGGCTGTTGATGTGGCATCACAAAAGCCCGTGTTTGTGAGCAGGAAGCCTGGTTATGAATGTTTGGAAGGTATCCGTGTGTGCCTGTGTGCCGTCGGGGCTAGGCTGGCTCAGACGCCTGCTCCATTCTGTAAGCGACTGTCGAGTGCTTGCCACGTGGTGTGTACGGGCGGGCCAAGGCTGGCTGGGAGGTCCCACCTGCCGACCACTAAGTGATGTAACAACCAGAAAGAATTCCACCCACCTGCCTTGTCTCACTTATGGCTCACCTGCTTGCCCCTCCTGTCCCTCCCTCCAGGCTTGCTCTGGGAGGTAGGTGAAAGGAGATGCCAAGGCCAGCGCATGGGCCTCTGGCCACCTCCCAGGGGGCGGTGCCCCTCTGTGATACCTGGTGCTGGGACAGGAGGAAGGGATGGTTTCAAGCACCCAGGGAAGGTGGCAGGTGGGCCAAGGGAGGGCTGGCAGCTCCATTCTGTCCCTTCCCCAGGCGGCCCGGGCAGTAGGAGCAGCGGCCGTGAGGCTGTGGCAGCAGCATTCGTAGCCGAGGATGCCCCAGGCCCTGGAGTGTTCGGAGGGTTGCTGGGCCTGGATGGTGCTCCTGGCCTCTGTGGTGACCCAGGGCCTCACCCTGGGCTTCCCCACATGCGTCGGCATCTTCTTCACTGAACTGCAGCGTGAGTTCCAGGCCAGCAACAGCGAGACCTCCTGGTTCCCATCCATCCTGACAGCCATGCTCCATGCAGGGGGTGAGCAGCCAGCGGAGGGAGGGAGGGATGAAAAACAGCCTGGGTGGGGGAGGAAGCCACAACCTCCCTGGCCTCCTGGGTCTCTCTCTCTGAGGCCACAGGTTTTGCCTTGTGCTGTGTATCCCTAAGACCTCTGATTTCAACAGGGCCAGTTCCCCTGCCTGGAGTCTGGCGGGCCTGGGCTGGACTGGGCTGGGGAGGGGCAGAGGGTGGAGAGGCCCCTAAGAAGTAAAGCCGGTCCCCTTGATGACAGTGGGAGGATGGATCCAGCGTGCCGGGCGCTCAAGCACAGACTGGAGGAGGAGTGGCTTGGGGTCCTGCTGGGTGATCTCTCGGAACCTGTTTTTTCCTCTGCAATATGGGAGTAACAGTCAGTATCCCATCCTGCCCACCTCCCACACAGGATTGGAGAGAAGGTCACGTGAGGTCCCGGCCAGGTCTGAGAGCTAGGGCAATGGAAGCAGCTGTGAGTTATTAGTATTTTGGAGACCCTCATCAGGGCTTCAGGATGGGAAGGAGGGCTCAAGGAAGACACCAGGAGCAGGATGGGGGCAGGGCAAGAGCCCATCTTTCACCAGGAAGCAGAGGGGCTGTTGCAAGGGCTGGGGAGACGGAGGGAGGGCTCTTCCAGGGATGTGAACACCTCACCCTGAGCCCAGGGAAAGGGAAGGGCAGGGGCTGCGCTGGAGGGTTCTCCACAATAGCCTTGGGCTCCTGGAAGATCTCCAGGGAGAGCTCCACAGGCCATTCCCTCAGAGGGGCCTGGTCAGCTAGAGCCAGACCTCAGAGCCCACCGGGCTCTCCCCACGGGTGTGTTTGCCTGTCTCAGCTGATCCATCTCCCTGCTTACCTCCTGCCCTGCCCTCCACCTGGCACCAGCAGCCTGCTTGTTATTCCAGGTCCTTCCCTCGAATGGGGAGGGAAGTCAGACTGGGATGGAAGCCACCCTCACTGCAGTGACCCCTGAACACGTTGCTTGGCAAAGGAGCAAGGCCAGGCCCGGCCCAGACGCGTAACCTTTTTGTCAGCAAGGTTGGGCAGAAGTGGGAATCTCAGACAGTTCCTTCCCTGCAGCCAGAGAGGGCTCTGGGCCAGGGGCTGGGAGCCAGGCATTCGCTGGGGACCTCACTCCCCCACCAGCTTTAGACTCACGCCTAGCAGGTGTGCCAGCATCTCAGTGGGCCCGGGACTCCTGTCTGTCTCTCTGTGTCACACACACACACACACACACACACACACACCTTTAGCCCACGCTCATTCAGAGTATCATGGAAATTTTAAACTTGAAAGTGTCCTTGATCCTAAGCACCTCTCAGCCCCACACGTTCTAGAGGTGAGGAAAGCAAAGCACAAAGTACAAGGCCTTGCCGGTGTTGCAGAGTGAGTTCAGGGTGAAAGCAGAAACACCTTGCTTCCCAGCACCCCACCCTGCGCCCTTGGCTGTCTCGGCTGAGCTGGCACACATCCCAGCCCCTCACTCCCAACTCCATGACGCAGGGCTTTCCCCAGTGTCACCTTTCCAAAGTCAGGCCAGAGTATGAGGTGGGAGAGATGTGTGAATCAGCAGTCATGTCCACTTCAAAGCCTTGCCTCTCCCTCTATGGCTGCCTCTCCTTGATTACCTCTGAGGACGGTCCACTCACTTCCCATGTTCGCTCCCATACGCGTACTGGCTCACACCCACACATCCTCTCTCCACGCCAAACACACAGACACACACCGAGTGCACACACACACTTTCCTTGTCTCTTTGGCTGCTCTCTGGGAGAGCAACTCTGGAGAAACTCTGCTGTGTGTACTCGGGGGCAGGGTACTTGGTGAATGGGGCCCTGTGAGGTGACGAGAGCAGGCGGCCAGGACTGGCTTACTTCTACTCTGGGTCTGCACTGGTGAGAAAGCAGCTCAGGGTGGGGGTGGGGGTGGGTGAGGGAGAACAGGCCCCTCTCTACCAGGAGCTAAACATCTGGGTGCAAGACTTTGGTGATGGCTGGAGGTGGTTGGGGGGAGAGGGTACCCCACCTGCTTTTCTCCAGAGTGCCCCAGAGGCCAGAGCCAGCAGGTGAAGGGTGGCCCAGGGCCTCAGGCTTCCCACCCTGGACAGGTTGAAGGATGGTGGGAGGGCTGTGGCCAGTCTTCCTGAGGATGGAGGAAGGGGGAGCAGGGGCTGGAGGTGGCGCTCACCATGATTTAACTGCCCTGGGACCCTCGCCCACCAAAACAGACCCCCATGAGGGTCGTCCACCCAGGTCACAAGCCAATCCCATTTCACCTGGACGGAAGCGGCCTCAGGTCAGTGCAGTGAACGGCCTCAGTCTGTACCTCCAGGGATCCTTGTCAGGGTCAAACGGAATATTTGTAGCACCTCACCTCACAGCTGGCCAGACATCACCCAGTCTGACCCCTCAGTCTCTGGGGGAGGAAACTGCAGCACAGAGAGGGGTTGGCATTGCTTGGCCCATAGCCAGTCTGTGGCAGGGCGGGGCTCAGAACCCAGGTCTGTATGTTCCGGGGCTTGTGCCCGTTAAGCCACCTGCTAGTTCCTGCTGGAACCCCCTCCCAAGCCCACTGTCCCCCTCCCTCTGACCTTGTCATTTCGCTGCCACCTGCCGGCTGCCTCCTCCGCACAGGACCCTTGTGCAGCATCCTGGTGGGACGCTTCGGCTGCAGAGCGACGGTGATGCTGGGCGGCGTGCTGGCCAGCCTGGGCATGGTGGCCGGGTCCTTCTGCTGCACCCTCGGCCAGCTCTACCTCACGGCAGGCTTCGTCACAGGTGACTGTCATTCCATGTCGAGAATTGCTGGGTAGCTACTGGGTGCAAGACTGAAAAGGGCCAGGCACAGTGAACAGGGCAGGCAAAGCACCACATCTTCTGGGGCCGCCTCCAGTCACATGAGGGAGAGGAACTATGAACAGAGGAGTAAGAAGGATCATATCTGGTCATGACGAGCACCTGAGAAGACGGGACAGCTGATGTGATAGTGTTCCGGCTCGGTTGGTGGTGGGTAGAGATTAAACAAGTAAAGAGGTAGAGTAACTAAAGCAGCCAATGTGGAAGTTAAAGCAGGGTTGGGGGAGGGTGCTGATTTCAGCAGGGCGGTCGGGAAAGGCCTTGCAGAGAAGGTGGCATTTGGGCAGAAGGAGGTGAGGGAGGCTGCCAGCAGGCTGTCTGGGGAAGAGCATTCCAGGCAGCAGGAACAGCAAAAGCAAAGGCCCAGAAGTGCTCGAGGAGCAGCGCGGAGGCCAATGGGGTGGAGGGGCGTGAATGAAGGGTCAAAGGGGTGGGGGGGTGGGGAGACCAGGTACAGGTTTAGTTCCTAAAAGGCTGTGTAGTGAGATGGGAAGCCAGGTGAGGGGTTCGGGCAGAGGGACATCATCCAGCCGCTGTTTGTGAAGCACTGAGCACTGCTCTGGCTGCGGTGTTGAGAATACACCACAGGGGGCTGGGCTGGGAGCAGAGAACAGGCAGGGGCGTGGTCACCACCCAGCCAGGAGGTGGTGGTACCTTCAACCAGGGTGGTATGATTGGGGTGATGGGATGTGGTCGTGTTCAGGACTGCATGCGAGGTGCAGAGAAGGGGCCAAGGATGACCCAAGACCCAAGAAGGGTGATACCAAGGGGAGAATGGAAGAATGCAGTAGCCACTAACTACAGTGGGAAACTAGGGGAGGAGCAGGTTCTCGGGAGGATGGGAAGCTCAGGTTTGGACACATCCGGTCTGGAGTTCAGGGAACAGGCCTGAGCTGGAGCGGGCAGCTGGGGAATCCTGAGATGGCTCGTACTCAAATCTCGAGATGAGGTATCGCCCTGCTGTCACTAAGGGAACAAGGGAGGACGGATGTAAAGGACTGAGGCCTGAGGCCCAGGACACGGACACTCCAGTGGTTAGCGGCCTGGGCAGGAAGAAGTGACAGGGAGTGGGGTTTCTTGAGAAAGGAAGTGAGGAAAGTGCGCAAGCAGGAGGGAGTGATCGACTGTCAAGCCACTGATGGATCAGACCGAGTGGGGATCAGACTCCATCTTTGGCTTTGCAAAGTGGAGGTTGGCGGCTTTGATAAGAGGAATCCTGGAGCAGAGGTAAGGATGAAAGCCTGATTGGAACAGGTTCAAAAGAGAACAATAGGGGCGTTCCCAGGTGGCCTAGTAGTTAGGATTCTGGGCTTTCACTACCGTAGCCCGGGTTCGATCCCTGGTCGGGGAATTGGTATCCCACAAGCCATGTGGCACGGCCAAAAAAAAAAAAAAAGAAAGAAAGAAGAGGAGGGGGGAAACTGGAGACAGTGGAGATAAACAGTATTTCCAAGAAATTTAGATATAAGGGGAGAGCAGAGAAATGGACCAGTACCCAGAAGACACTGTTGTCAAGAGTTTTGTTTTAACGGGAGAAATAACAATAGAGAGTGATCTAGTAAAGGGGATAATGGATGCCGCAGGAGAGAGAAATTGCTGGAGGGATGTGCCTTCAAATAGACAGGATGCAGGGCAGAAGTGGAGGGTTGCCCTTGACTGGGAGCATGGACTGTCCATTGTCACAGACGGGATGGTATGTGGTCAGCTGGGCGTGCGGGAGGGAGGTGTCGGGGTGCTCATAGGAAGAAGTCCTGGTGGTCATCTAAGGGGGGTCATCTAATGGCCGAGGGAACTACAGTGGCACCGTGGGTGGCCCGAGGGCTCGCCTGAGGCCAGTGGTCACAGCGTGGTTGTGAACTTTCTCTCCAGCATGTTCAGCTGTGCACGGAGTTGGGGGCGGGGGGGGGGGGGGGCGCGTCAAGGGAAGATGCGAAACTCCAGGAGGAAGATCAAGCCTCCCAGGTCTGTGAAGTCCTCCTTTGGCTTCAGAGCTGCGTGTGGGAGAGTCAGGGTTTGGGGTAGCACAGGAGTGCTAATGTGGGGAGGAGGGTGCTAGCGGCGATTTGCGAGAGGAAACAAGGGCAGTAACCTAGGCACTCCCAAGGGAGCTGCCTCCCTGAGGTCCGCGATAAGAAAATCAGGTCCCGGCTTAGGGGAATTGAGCGCAAAGGAGGATGGGAGTCCTGTAGCGGGCACCTAGTCAGTTTCAACGCTTGTCAATATTAAAAAGGGGGGGCGGGGGGGGGGGGGGGGGGGGGGGAGGTGGCATCCAAGCTGAGTCAGGAGAGGAAAGTCTGAGGGAAGCATATTCCAGGCAGAGGGAATGGCAACTGCAAATGTCCCAGTAGGTGGGCAGCTTAATGTCCAGAGGAAGAGAAAGAGACTGATGGGGCTTGATCATGGCGAGTGACAGGGAGAGTGGCCTGAGATGGCACCCGAGAGGTGGCCAGGGGCCAGACCGTGCAGAGCCTTCCAGGGCATAGTAAATACGCTGGCTTTTTTTTCTAGGTGTGATGGGAAATCTTTGGAAGGTGTTAAGCAGCAGAGAGACTTAACCTGATTTAGGGTTTTGAAAATCCCCCTGGTGCTGTGCCAGCAGGAACAGGTGTGCCCCTGGCAGCCTTGAGAGGGCAGATCTGAGGGGTGGGATGCTTCTAGGGAGGTGGTGAGGTAGGTTGATTCCATCTTAAATTCCTGGGGACCTGGAAGTGGGTCTGCGCTGGAACGGAAGAACAGACCTGGGACATGACCCCAGGGTCCCTGCACCGGGTGCGCCCTGGAGCTGGTCCTCCCCTCTCCTTCCACAGGCCTGGGCATGTGCTTCAACTTTCAGTCAAGCATCACTGTGCTGGGACTCTACTTTACCTGCTGGCGGGTGCTGGCCAACGCGCTGGCCTCGGCGGGCGTCTCCCTGGGCATCATGCTGTGGCCACTGCTCTCCCGCTCTCTCCTGGAGGGCCTGGGCTGGAGAGGCAGCTTCCTCATCTTCGGCGGGGTTCTCCGCTGCTGTGTCTGTGGGGCCATCCTGAGGCCCGTGCCTGCCAGTGTGACCCCTGAGACCAGAGATGGCCTCCCTCCACCTTCCAAGAGACCCGCACGAGGCTGCCCGGCAGCACGCGGTCGGGCCATCCAGCGCCACCTGGCCTTCGATGTCCTGCGGCACAACGTGGGCTACCGCGTGTACACACTGGGAGTCGTCTGGATGATCATGGGTTTCCCACTGCCCCACGTCTTCCTGGTGTCGTATGCCATTTGGCACGGGGTGGATGAACACAGGGCGGCCCTGCTCATCTCCATCATTGGCTTTAGCATCATCTTCCTGCGGCCCATGGCTGGGCTGGTGGCAGGCCGGTGGGACTTTGCTAGCCACCGCAATTACCTGTTCAGCCTGGCGGCCCTGCTCAACGGGCTCACCAACCTGGCATGCGCAGCGTCGGCCGACTTCCGGGTGCTGGTGGCCTACTGCCTGGTGTACAGCGTGTCCATGAGCAGCATTGGTGCTCTCCTTTTCCAGGTCCTCATGGACATTGTCCCCATGGACCGGTTCTCCAGCGCCCTGGGCCTCTTCACCGTCCTGGAGAGCATCTCCATCCTCATCTCCCCGCCACTGGCTGGTGAGGCCCTGGGAGGGAGGGCAGCCGGGTGTGGCCTGGGCAGGGCATGGGGGGGTGCAAATAGGAACAGTCTGGAGATTTGGCCCCCCTCCAGCATCTCAGGGTTGGAGACTTGGAATCTGTGGTTTTCTCAAGCACCTCAGGGGACTGGCTGTAGGCTGTTCCACAGCTGGCACTCGGGGTATGAACAGTGAAAAATAAGGATTTTCATACCAGACTTATCTCAGTCCTTTGTCTTCCCCTCTGTACCTCTGGTTTCTTATCAGTAAAGTGGGGATGACAGTAGAATCTACCTCATAGGCTTGTTGTGGGGATCACAAGTGACATATAGCAAAGAGCTTAGTAGAGAGCCTGGCACACGGTAAGTGCTATGCACATGTCTGCTGTTATTAACATCCTCTGCCTGTGGGGCCCGGGCAAGTCATTTTCCTTCTCTGAGCCATAGTGTCATCTGCAAAATGCAGACGAGAACACCTGCCATACCCATCCCTACACCTGTGCCAGTCACAGGGTGGGCAGGGCCGAATACAGAGAACTTGTCCCCACCTCGCAGGGCTTACCTTCTAGTGGAGGAGTTGGGGATTACAGCAAAGAGGCCCCTTTGTGATCATAGTGGTGATTTGTGCCGGGAGGGAAACGAACAGATATGGAAGCAGAGACCCACAGGAGTGGACTTGCTGGGCAGCTGAGCGTGTGACATTCAGAGTAAAAGGGAAGGTTTGTGAAGCCCGTGGTGCTGGGGGGCAGTCAACAGACAGCACGGTTATTACAGTCAGACAACGGGGACTCCTCCCAAGTGTGGCATTGGAAGTCCCAGTTTCCAAGGGCATTCTCCAAGCCGACAAGCGGGGAGAGCAATCCAGGAGGAGGTATGGCGGGCCTGGGGTAGGGCTGAGCAGATATCCCAGACGCCACTGGCCCTTGAGTCCTTGGCTTCCTGCCGCCAAGGGTAAAGGAAACATGCCCTTAAGTGCTCGTCTGGCCGCCCAAGGGCTCTTCCTGCCCGGACTGGGGCTGGTTTAATGTTTCCTTTCCTTTCATTCAACAAATACCTAATGAGTTCCCACTAGGTGCCAGCCACGGTTCCTAGTGCTGGGGATGCAGCAGAGACAACAATAAAATCCCTGCTCTCACAGAGCACACAATTTAGCAGGGGTGAGGGGGTGTGGGCGGGAGGCCTGGTAGCCAAGGGCAGTGGCCTAACTTGCTCTCTGTCCCCTAGGACTCCTCCTAGACACCACCAGCAACTTCAGCTATGTTTTCTACATGTCAAGTTTCTTCCTCATCTCAGCCGCCCTCTTCATGGGTGGCAGTTTCTGGGCCCTGGGGAAGATGGAGAGGCAGGGCCCGCAGGCTGAGGTGCAAGGAGCTGTAACAGAGGCTGCCCCAGAGCACGGCCTCACTATGGAGGACACAGACGGTCCCAAGAAGCAGCTGCGCGTGGAGATCATGTATGTGACCAGCGTCTGAGGCCCGGGATCACTCACGTGTGTGACCGGCATCTGAGCCCTGAAGTCAGTGAGTCCTGCCTCAGCCCAGGAATGTCCGGCTACTTTGCCAGAGGCCGGGGTGAACCAAAGCCTGAACCAAAGGCCATCTGGGTTCTGCATGTTGGGACTCAGCCAGGAGTTGGGACCTTAGAGGCTGACCTCCAGAGGCTCAGGTTTCCTTCTAACCAGCAGAATCCAGGAGCGGATCTTCCTGACTTTTTTTGCTGGGGCATCAGAGTACCTGGGGCCCAGGAAGGTGGGTCTGAGCCCAGCTCAGGTCTGTCACGGCTGGCTTGGCTCAGCTCAGCTGGCTGCCTACGCTGCTGCTACAGCTCAACACACCGGACCCTCAAGTCCAGCCTGGGTGCCTCCCATGTGATCTCTTTGTCCTTCACCCTCTAGACAGCTCCGAAGAGCTCAACCCTCCTCCGAGTCTCTCCTGCCCCGCTTCTTCCCAGGTGGCCCAGCCCTTGCCCACAGGGCTGCCCCCAGCACAGGTTGCTGGGCCTCATGCTACCTGGAACCTTGGGAAGAAGGGCTTTGTGAGAGAATGTGTTGCAGTGGTGGAGGGCCAGGCTGAGGGTCGGCCTGGATGCAGGATTTGGACAGATTAAATGCCAGGTGGAGCACCCGTCCTGGCGACAGTGCAGAGAACTGGAGGGGAGCCCCTGGCTCGGGTCCTAGAATCAGTGAAGTCTGAGGGCCCCCTGCACACTCAGCAGGGCCTGCTCTAGGGTCTCCTCCCTCCTCTGCCCCATCCTGTACCTTGGCTGGGAAGATCAGTGCTGGGGGGAGCTGGGGAGCCACACATCAGACCAGGGGAGGAAGGATTGCTAGGCAGGGCCCCACGACCTCTGTGGAAATGGAGCTGCTTTTGTAGCAGAAGCCCTTTCACTCCCCACTCCCCGCTCCTGTCAGCCTTTTCTCCCTGCTGTGTCAGAGGTGTCAACCCTGGGATAAGTGGCTGGCTGGGCCAGCTGCCAGGCCACCCCTGCTCCCCACTGGCCTGTGCGTCTGGCCTGGAAGTCAGAGCTTCTCCCCCAGACCGGCCGGCCGCCACGTACTCTTTTTGCTGGTGCCTTCCCTGAGGTCATCACCTGGGGGCTGGCTGTCATCAGCCCAGGCTTGTCCCAACAGTGTACCAACTGAGTGAAAGGAAAAACAGAGTTTGTTTGAATTACACACAGAAACACTTTCTGCAGCGGGTTATAAACCCTGTGAACTAACGAAGCTAGAAAAGAGGCCTGGAGTAAATTTTCCCCCATCCCCCTTCAGGGCTACTCCCACCAAGGACCTTGTTTGTTGACTCAAGCTCAACCAGGTTTCAACAAGAAACCCTTATCAGGAGAATTGATTTTCTTTTTATGACCCGACGGCAGCCTTCCTCCTGCACGAGTCCAACTGGCGTGAGTCAGCATCCTTGGGGATGTTGTCTTTCCCAGGACTCGTGAGTTCCCCCTTCTGGCCAAAAGAGGTAGTACGGAGGTGAAACAGGGCTCTGGGCTGGAATAGAGACCTGAATTCACGTTTGACTCTGCCATAATTTGCTGTGTGACTCTGGACCATCTCTGGGCCTTGAAAAAGGAGGAGGTTGGCCTAGATAAGTTAAAGTCTCTTCCAGTTTGAAAAGTCTGATCCTGAAGACCCCCCCCCATTGCCTCCCTGCCCCCACCCATCCTGTCCTGTACTTGGTCACCATCCATAGCTTGTGCACTGAAGGGGGAATCCACAGCTGGACACATTTTACCAGGTCCTGCCACCTTCTCCATCTTAACTGAGCGGAAAAGGAGAGTTGGGGCTGGTGGGTAGATGAATACTTTTTGGTGGTAGTAGCCACAAGCCTTTGAAACGTGTATCCCCTTTTAGGCCCACTTCCTAAAAACTGATTTCTTTCAAGGAAAAAAGATATTAGTAAACATTTAGCATAGGGAACTTTGACCTCCTCTGCCCCCTGGGCAAGAGTGGTGATAATCTCTGGGCAGAATTCCTTCAGCAAATATTATTGAGCATCTACTGTGTGTCAGCAACTGGCAGAGAGGAGTTAAGACCTGGTCGCTGCCCTCAGCACAAAACCAAGGACTAAGAATTCTTCCCAAAGATGAGGGCAGGGCTTCCCTGGTGGCGCAGTGGTTGAGAGTCCGCCTGCCGATGCAGCGGACACGGGTTCGTGCCCCGGTCCGGGAGGATCCCACATGCGGCGGAGCGGCTGGGCCCGTGAGCCATGGCTGCTGAGCCTGCGCATCCGGAGCCTGTGCTCCGCAACGGGAGAGGCCACAACAGTGAGAGGCCCGCGTACCGCAAAAAAACAACAACAACAAAAAAAACAAAGATGAGGGCCTCTGAAGCCTTAGGAGGGGACAAATGAGGGAGGCTGGGGTGGCCCATCTGATTCCAGAACCCACACTTAGTTGATCCTGGGATTCCTCTAGAGAGGGGCTAGAGCAGTTCCTGACCAGGAGCTCACTTCCATCCTGTCCCCAAGCTCTGAGCTCCTGGTCCCAGGCCTTTACTGCTCTGTCCAGACAGAAGCAGAGAAGCCCCCTGGCCACCTTGTGCTGAGATATACTTCCCCAAGTCGAATCAGCTCCCCTCTGAATGTGAAGGGCCTGGTGAGGGGCCTGGGGCCACTGTCCTGCAAGAAGCAGCCAGGGTACCCAAGCACCCAGACTATGGTCATAACTCCTGCTCCAGGGGTGTGTGCACAGGGCAGGGGCTGATCACAGGGACCTGAGCCCACCACGGAGGTGGAGGCTGCTCTCAACGGGGCTGTGGCAGGCTGGAGTGTGGCAGCCACTCTGCCCTCATGCCAGGCCCAGGGCAAAAGGAGCATGGCCCTTGCCTTCAAGAAGCTCGCCGCCCAAGCCCCTTTCATCCCCACGTTTTCAAGCACAACTGGAGTCTGGGCGGACCACCTTCCTCCCTGGTGCTCTGTCCCCTGTGCCTATGAGGTCTGGGTCGCACGCCCCCTTCCTGAGAAGCCCCGAGAAAGAAGTGGGCGGAAGGGCTTCAGCATCAGAAAACCGCCAAAGCGGTACAACTGGGCTCCTTCTAGGGCCCAGCGGTGCTGCCCCCTGGTGCTCTCTGCCACCTGGCTGATAAAATGCCTTCCAGCCAGAGGTGGCAGACTCAGCTCGGGATTGGGAAGCAGAGGGTACCAGGCTCGACCGGCTTTTATTTTCATTTTGGCCGCGCCATGCGGGATCTTAGTTCCCCGACCAGGGATAGAACCCGTGCCCCCTCCATTAGGAGCGCGGAGTCAACCACTGGACTGCCGGGGAAGTCGTCGCCTGGCTTTTGGGAAAAGCAGACATGAAGGTAGTGTCAAAGTGTTACCGAACCCAGGTCCGGCTGCTCGCCCCTCGAAAGCCAATTCTTGAGAGACAAGTGTTGGTAGGAACGGAAAGGTTGCTTCAGAGGCTGGCAACCGGGGAGAGGGTGGAGTCCTGTCCGAGAACTCCCGATTGCTGTTCAAGGGACAGGGGCTTTTAAAAGGGAGTTTCAGGGTTATATAGGCGGAGGGAGGGAGCAGAACAGCATAGTCAGTTCTGACAGCTTGAAACCAGTAATGTGGTGGTCTGATCAGCGTCATCTTGGTCGTTTTAAGTACGGTTAATCTTTAGTTCCAGGGTTTGTTCCCATTTCTTTGAGGCCAGTTCTCGGAATTGTGTGAAGTGGAGCAGCTTATGTCATGGCTTCAGTTTGGTTATCATGTAGTCATCCTCCTCCACCTGGTGGGGGCTTCAGTAGCTGCAAAACAGCTCACAGGATACGGCTCAGAATGTTATCTATAGACCTTAAGGACGAACTAAAGGTCCTTGACTATGCTTAAGGACTAAACTATTATTATTTGGTCTCCTTTGTTTTCCTCTATTTCTGCATTTTTTTCACTTCTGATTAAACTTATTCTTTGGATAAAGTTTTTCCGCAGACAAAAGGCAGGCTGAGGACATGGGGGGCAAGGACCATAGGGTCCTGCTCCGTTTCAAAATGACCCACGTGGGGGACACAGGGAGCCGACACTTGCGTTCCTGGGGGCCCTTGGTGTGTGTGGGGGAACTGCACCCCTCTGTCAAGTGCAGGGGCATCTGGAGGTGCTTCTGCCCCGACAGACCCCCACATAGGCGCTCCGGCACCTCTGAGCTCCTAAGGGCCCTAGAGGAGCTCCTCAACGCATCCGCAACCTTCCATGACCGCTTCCATCACGACGCGGATCGCCACCTGCGTGAGACAAGACGCTTGAAGCGCCCGGCGTAAGCACCGGCGTACCAGGGAGCTCAATGACAGCCCCGCCCCTCACCCTCCTCTGCCCGCCCCTTCCGCCCCCTGGGGCGGGGCTAAGCGCGGCTTCCCCCGGAAGTCCGGAACTGAGCCGAAAATTAAGCGTCGCTGGGTGCTGCTCCTCCCTCCTTCGGCGCGCGACTGCGTCCTGGTCTTCCGCGCCCCAATTTGGATGTTCACTCCCAACTCTTAGGAGGTCCTGAGTCCCCACCCCATTTCCCCAGCCCAGTTTCAGCTGCAAATTACTGCAGAACCTGAAGCCGGGAAAGGAACCTATTTCCCGCTCCGGTCTGCCCCTCTCCGGACCCGGCGAGGCCCAGGTGAGGTTCTCGCCCGCTTTCCAGCCTCGCTTTCCAGCCTCGCTTTCCAGCCTCACCTTCCACACTCCCCTGCCCGTCCCCCGGGTTTCCTCCGCCGCCCGACCATGGCCCAGAAGCCGAAGGTAGACCCCCACGTCGGCCGGCTGGGATACCTGCAGGCGCTGGTCACGGAATTCCAGGCGACCGAGAGCCAAGGTGAGAGCGGCAGGGTGGGGAGCAGGGTACCAGGCAGGGGTCTGGCCGCGATCGCCGCCCGGTACCTGGCTCCAATGCCGCTTTTCCACTGCAGACGCCAAGGAGCAAGTACTGGCCAACCTCGCCAACTTCGCCTATGACCCCAGTAACTACCAGTATTTGCGGCAGCTGCAGGTCCTGGATTTATTCCTCGATTCACTGTCGGAGGAGAATGAGACCCTGGTGGAGTTTGCTATTGGTAAGGATGGGGCCGCTCTCCTAGATGCCTGATGGGCTGTAATGAGATAATGAGTTACAAGTGAGTTGTTGGGAAAGGAATCTCTTAGGCAGTCCCTCAGCTGCGAAGGCAGACTTTCGCGATGTCTGTGCCGCCTCCGCGGTTCACACGTCGTCCAGGTCACGGCTCGCTTGAGTCAGGTTTGGAACTCCCAGGACCCCCCTCTGCCTGTCTAGCTTCCCTCCCGCTTAGAGGTGAGATAAAAAATGAGGGAATGGATTGAAGCCCCATTGGAGGGAAAAAAGCTGAGTGCCCTTTTTAAACATCTTTGACTTAATGTTTTAACATCGGGACTTCCCTGGCGGTCCAGTGGTTAAGACTCCGTGCTTCCACTGCAGGGGGCACGGGTTCAATCCCTGGTTGGGGAACTAAGATCCCACATGCCGTGGAGCGCAGCCAAAAAAAGTTTTACCATCAAGAGAAGTAGCGGTGACTTGGAATGGCTTGTGACTCCTGTAGTAGTTGTGGTCTAAGACCTACTGAATTATTCACTGGACAGATATTTATTGGGCGTATATTGTGCGAGCAAGGTATTGTTCTAGATGTTGGAGAGGTGGCGAACAAGTTGGGCAAAGGGTCTTTGCCCTCAAGGAATTTACATTCTAGTAGGGGGAGACAGATGGTTGACAAACAAGAAAGCTGAGGCTCTGAAGAAAATAAACGGGGTGATGAGAGAGAGCAAGGGGAGGGAGGGGCTACTTGTTTGGCCATCATGGGAAGGCACAGCGTGGGCAAAGACTCTAGAGCAGAGCTTCCCTGGTGGCGCAGTGGTTGAGAGTCCGGGGACACGGGTTCGCGCCCCGGTCCAGGAAGATCCCACGTGCCGCGGAGCGGCTGGGCCCGTGAGCCGTGGCCGCTGAGCCTGCGTGTCCGGAGCCTGTGCTCCGCAACGGGAGAGGCTCGCGTACCGCAAAAAACAAAACAAAACAAAAAAACATTAAGTCAAAATACATAAAATAATTGTTGACTTTTACAACTAGTCAAATCAGTTAATTTAGTCTTACAATTAAGGACAATGATGCCAACTGAGAGGAAATGACCAGTTCAAGGAAAGAGTTTGGAGTTTATTCTGAAGGCAAACCAACATTGTTTTTTCAGCATGCATCTTTGAAAAAGAACATTTCTTTACATAGTGAATCTTTTTTTTTCTGTACGTGGGCCTCTCACTGCTGTGGCCTCTCCCGTTGCGGAGCACAGGCTCTGGATGCGCAGACTCAGCGGCCATGCCTCCGGGCCCCAGCCGCTCCGCGGCATGTGGGATCTTCCCAGACCGGGGCACGAACCCGCATTCCCTGCATCGGCAGGCGGACTCTCAACCACTGCGCCGCCAGGGAAGTCCATAGTGAATCTTATCTACATAGAGAATGAACTTAATAATTCCATTATCACCAAATACCCAGTTAGGCAAACTTCTCTAATAGTTCCCAAAAGGACATTTTGCTGTTGTTGTTTTGTATAAACCAGGATCCAGTCCAGGATTCATGCACTTAATCTGGTTCTTACGTTCCTTAGATCTCAATCTCTCTCTTTTAAAATAAACTTTGTATTTTAGAACAGTTTTAGAAAAATTGCAGAGATAGTACAGAGTTCCCATATATGCCACACCTAGTTTCCTCATTGTTATTGTCTTACATTAGTATGGTACATTTGTTACAATTAATAAACCAATATTGATGCATTATTATTAACTCAGGTCCATACTTTATTCAGATTTGTTTAGTGTTTCTCTGATAATCCTTTTACTGCTCCAGGATTCCATCCAAGATACTGTGTTACATTTAGTTGTCATGTCTCCTTAGGCTCCTCTGGGCTATGCCAGTTTCTTAGACTTTCCCTTTTTGCTGGATGACCTTGGCAGTTTTGAGGAGTACTGGTCAGGTATTTTGTAGGTTTTTCCCTCAGTTGGGGTTTGTCTGATATTTTTCTCATGATTAGTGTGGGATATGGGTTTTGGGGAGGATGACCACAGAGGTAAATGGTAAAAGGCCGTTTTCATTTACATCATATCAAGGGCATATGCTATCAACATGACTTATCACTGTTGATATTAACCTTGACACCTGGATGAAGCAGTGTTTGTCAGGTTTCTCCACTATAAAGTCACTCTTTTTAGTTAGTTATTTATTGGCCATACCTTGTGGCATTTGGGATCTTAGTTCCCTGACCAGGGATTGAACCCATGCCCCCTGGATTGGAAGCATGGAGTCTTAACCACTGGACCGCCAGGGAAGTCCCTAAAGTTACTCTTTATCCACCCCCTCCCCCCCTTTCCATATGGTGCTCTTTGGAAGGAAATCACAGCATCAATTATCTTATATCTCCTTTTTAATATAAATTTATTTATTTTTGACTGCTTTTGGGTCTTCGTTGCTGCGTGCGGGCTTTCTCTAGTTGCGGTGAGCGGGAGCTACTCTTCGTTGTGGTGCGCGGGCTTCTCACTTCAGTGGCTTCTCTTGTTGCGGAGCATGGCCTCTAGGCACGCGGGCTTCAGTAGTTGTCGCACGTGGGCTCAGTAGCTGTCGCCCATGGGCTTAGTTGCTCTGCGGCATATGGGATCTTCCCGGACCAGGGCTTGAACCTGTGTCACCTGCATTGGCAGGCGGATTCTCAACCACTGCCCCACCAGGGAAGCCCATCTTATACCTCTTTTAATCATTAATAATAGACTCTTTTTTCCTAACACTAATTGTTGAAGGATCCAGACCAGTTCTGCAGAAGGTCTCACCTTCTGAATTGTCTAGTTGCCTCTTTATGGTGTCATTTCGTTTGTTCCTGTAACTGCTTTATTTCCTGTAACTTAGAAATTAGATTGAAAACTTTTCTAGAATCAAGTAACACACTTTTTTTTTTTCTTCCTGAATACATCCTGGGCAAATGTGATTTAAATTTTTGAAAGGCCATCCAGGTCTGCCTCTAATTTGTGGTATCTGGTACTCCTCTTACTATGACAGGCCTCACACATGTGTGGACATCCCGCTTCATTCAGAGCCCCACAAACACTTGCCTGGTGGCCACTCATTGGACTTAGGCGTGTACACACAAACAGCAGGGTTCACTGCTGGGAGTCAGGATGCAGGAAAGAGGCCCATGAAGCTGGGGGAGCAGTTTTAGGAACTGGAGCTCTGGGTATGGGCTTTGGGCAGGCTCCCTGGACTCTTCAGCCTATGGAGAGGGCCAGAGTGAGGCCCTCGAAACCTGGGCTGGGGGCAGGAGCCCCGGTTGCCCAGGTCTAAGGGTGGGAATAACTCATGTCTCTGCCCCTCTGGAAGATTATTATGCTGAAGAAGTATCGTGAAAAATTGGTCACTTTAAGATTTTCTCCAGTATTAGTACTCCATCTCCTCCCTTTTTGGAGCTCTGCTCCCCAGCTTCTGCCGCCTGAGTGGTGACAGTGACCCCTGCAGAAGCCCGTGGCTAGGCCTCCACCTGAGAGTGATACAGCTCCTTCAACTCAAGCTCTTGACTCTGGAGAAACCTTTGCTGAAAAGAGCAGTCACCCAGGCAAGTTTTTACAGGATCAGGAAGCAACTTTCCCAAGGCTGGAACACTCTTGAGTTCCTGGCCCACTGAGCTGGGAGCTTTGCCAGAGATCAGGGCTGGGCCTGGGTTCTTGCCCTCCTGGGAAGCTTCCCAGAGTGGGTGACCAAGCCCTGGACCTGGAGTCCACGGTCCCCACTTCTCCACTTTGTAGCCAGTCTTTGTGGATGAGTCCTGTCCCTTCTCCAAGCCTCATTTCCTCGCCTGAGCCTTGTCTGCCTCGCAGGACTGTTGCGGGGAGCAGAGCGTGTGCGCGTGTCTGTCTCCGTGAAGGTATCAATACTTTGTCTAAAATTGTTGGTATCATCACCAGTTTTACTTTTCACAGCCGCTGTTTCCTTCTCTTCGTCTTCCCAACGCCCCCCAATCCCAAGAGCAACAGCTTTCTTAGCATTGAATCCCTCCGAGGGATCCTCTGGAGGTTAAAATTCTCTTGTATTTATTGTGCATAACTTAAAAGGAAAGTCCCAGTGGTGCTTAGAAGCCTATTTTGTTACTCTTGCTGTTTCCTTTTCTGTTAATGTCTGTGGTGCTAAATGGGAAACACTGTCAGTGCTTATCCTGTGCTGGGCTTTGTAGCTTTGAATCTTTTGTCTCTGGTGGCAGATCTGAGATGGTGAATCTCCATGAGATCAGAGTGCCTTGCTTATCTTTGTTATGTCTTGAGTGCTCAGGCCTTTTGGCCTGGGACGAGGATGGGGCCGGGGAATGTGTGCAGAGTCCTGGCCGTGACTTCGTGCTGCAGCCCGAGTGCGTTTGGTTCTGGAATAACTGCTGGGTTAGATTGCCCATGGTCATGGTTTGGCAGAACCAAAACCAATGTTGGTTTGTTGGGAAGGAATATAGAGAGTTTGGTAAGAGTGGGGCTTTGGGGTCAGGCAGGCCTGAGTTCAAGTCCTCACTCCCCGACTTAACTCTGGACATGTGATTTCCCTTCTCCCATCATCGGTCAGGTGGGGGAGGATCAGTACCTGCCTCACAGAGTTGTTGAGAGAATTAAATGAGATAAAGTGCCTGCAGCTGCAAGGTCCCCTAGGTATCCAGACCCCTTTGAGGATAAACAGTTCCCGAGTCTCCCAGAGAGGTGAGGTAGGATGGGATAGTGTCTTATCACCCATCTGTTCCAGGGATTCGGTCCTTCTGGAAAAATATCACTGAATGATAGGAAAAGGTATGAAAGTTGATCTTTAGCCTCACAGTGGGTGTCCGGGCAGTAGGAGGAGGAAGTACCATGGGGAGACAGGCACTGGTCAGTCCAGAGCCACCCTCATTTGGGATGGAGGATAGGGAATGGGTGAATTATCAGGAACCAGATAAAAAGCCAGGATCTCAGTAAATACTTGAATGAGCGAGAGAATTCAGAGCTCATGCCCCAAATAAAAACTCTGGCAGGCTTTGGTATTAATTTGGGAGTGTTGGACTGA